ACAGAGTCTCAACTCTGTTGCCCAGGCTGGAGTGCAGGGGTGCAGTCATAGCTCACTGCAGCCTCAAACTCCTGGGCTCAAGAGATCCTCCCACCTCAGCCTCCCGAGGAGCTGGGGCTGCAGGCACACACCATCATACCCAGCTAAATTGAAAGAACTTTTTTTAGAGATAGGGTCTCACTGTTGTAACTGCCCAGTGGGTTTACCTTGCCCCCTGCCTAGACAGAGCTGATTTATCAAGACAGAGGAATTGCAATGGAGAAAGAGTAATTCATGCAGAGCCAGCTGTGCCAGAGACCAGAGTTTTATTAGTACTCAAATCAGTCTCCCCAGGCATTCAGGGGCGAGTTTTTAAAGATAAGTTGGCGGGTAGGGGCTTGGGAAGCGGGGAGGGCTGATTGGTCAGGTTGGAGATGGAGCCATAGGGGGTTGAAGTGAGGTTTTCTTGCTGTTTTCTGTTCCTGGGTGGATGGCAGACCTGGTTGAGCCAGATTACCAGTCTGGGTGGTGTCAGCTCATCCATCCAGTTCAGGGTCTGCAAAATATCTCAAACACTGGGCTTACGTTTTACAATAGTGATGTTACCCTCAGGAGCAATTTGCAGAGGTTCAGACTCTTGAGCCAGACGCTGCACGACCCCTAAACCATAATTTTTCTTTTCTTTTCTTTTCTTTTCTTTTTTTCGAGACAGAGTGTTGCTCTGTTGCCCAGACTTGAGTGCAGTGGCGTGATCTCGGCGCACTGCATCCTCGTCTCCCTGGTTCAAGCAATTCTCCTGCCTCAGCCTCCCCAGTAGCTGGGACTACAGGCACACGCCACCATGCCCGGCTAATTTTTGTATTTTCACTAGAGACGGGGTTTCACCATATTATTCAGGCTGGTCTTGAACTCCTGATCTCAGGCGATCCACCCTCCTGGGCCTCCTAAAGTGCTGGGATTATAGGTGTGAGCCACCGCACCTTGCCCTAAACCATAATTTCTAATCTTGTAGCTAATTTGTTAGTCCTACAAAGGCCGACTGGTCCCCAGGCAAGAAGGAGGTGTTTTCAGGGAAAGGCTATGATCAGTTTTGTTTCAGAGTCAAACCATGAACTGAATTCCTTCCCGAAGTTAGTTCGGCCTATGCCCGGGAATGAACAAGGACAGCTTAAGGGTTAGAAGCAAGATGGAATCAGTTGGGTCTGGCCTCTTTCACTGTCGTCATTTCCTCAGGTACAATTTTTGCAAAGACGGTTTCACCATGTTGCCCAGGCTGGTCTTGAACTGGGCTCAAGCGATCCTCCTACCTTGGCCTCCCTAAGTGCTGGGATTACAGGCCTGCACCACCATACCTGGCCCACCTTGGAGCGTGTTATGTAAAGTGAGCTGTCCCCACACCCCTACAGCCTATGAATGAGCCTTTTCACCCCATGCACGATTCTCTAAAAATTCCCTCTACAGAGAGAGCTGTTCAGGACATTTCTTTTTTTCTCTGGCATACTCATCAGTTAGAAAGAAATGATTCAGCAAGTGGCTCTCCGGAGAGCCCTGATCGTTTCCCGTTTTCCTGTGAAGTTAGTCTCAGTAGGTCTGCACTGTGCCATTTTTTGGGGACCATTATCTGGCTCCCGAATGGATCAAAGCTTACTGGTCAGGGTGCTGCTGTATCCCTGGGGCAAAACTGCCGGAAAATAGCAGATAGCCCTGTGGTCCTTGGCAGGGCCAGCTGGGCCAAGCGCATCAAGCGTGCATGAGGCACAGCCCAGTTTTGGGAGCATGACGCTTGTTTTCGAGGATGCCTCTGCTTCCCTTCCTGCCTGGAGCCCTGCTCTCCAGCCCCAGCAGAGCGAGGCTGTGAGTCAGTGCTCGGATTAACAGCAGCATGGAGCTGCTGGCTGGGATGCAAGCCGCCGCCATGGGATGAGTTACACGGCTTCTCCCTGCATCCCTGAAGGAGGCAAAGAGTGTTAGGCCTGTTCTAACTTCATGCAGAGCACTGAGGGGTGGGGGTTGACCTTGGCTGGCCGCGGAGGGAAGCCCAAAGTCCGGCCTCCCTGCGGAGAGTGGGGAGAAAATGTTGCACTTGTGGTTTTTAAATAGTAGTGGACAAGTTTCTCTAACACCCAGTGTTTTCGTCTGCTAAGGCTGCCATAGTAAATTCCTACAGTCAGGAGGGCTGAAGCAAAAGAGATTTCTTCTCCCACAGTCCTGGAGACTGGACGTCTGAGATCCAGGTGTGGGCAGGGCTGGTTCCTCCTGAGGCCTCTCTCCTGGGCTTGGAGACACCGTCTTCTCCCTGTGTCCTCACAGGCTCGTCCCTCAGTGTGTGTCTGTGTTCCAGTCTCCTCTTCTTATGAGATGTCTCAGTCCATCTCAGGCTGCTATCACAGAATACTATAGAGTGGGTGGCTTAGAAACAACACACATTGATTCTCCTGCAGTCCTAGAGGCTGGAGGCCCAAGATCCAGGTGTGGGCAGGGCTGGTTCCTCCTGAGGCCTCTCTCCTTGGCTTGTAGACACCATCTTCTCCTTGTGTCCTCACAGGGTCATCCCTCTGTATGTGTCTCTGTCCCCACCTCTTCTTATAAGGTCTGTAGTCCTATTGGATTAGAGCCCACCCTAGTGATCTCGTTTTATTTTAATCACCTCTCTAAAGACTTTGTGTTCAAATACAGCCACAGTCTGATGCCCTCGGGATTAGTACTGTGACCTGTGAATTTGGATGGGAATATAGTTCAGCCCATAGAACCCATTATCCACATAAGTCATTTCACTTCAAAATCAGCACAAAGCATTAGTTTAAAAATCTCAAATCTGTATTTTTAAAAATTGCTCTTAACACGTTAGAAAAATGTAGAAAAACTTTTTTGTTGGTTTTCTGAGACAAAGTCTCACTCTGTAGCCCAGCCTGGAGTGCAGGGACATGATCATAGCTCATTGCAGCCTCCACCTCCTGGGCTCAAGCATTCTTTTGCCTCAGTCTCCCAAGTAGCTGAGACTACAGGTGCACATCACCACACCCGGCTAATTTTTTTTTTTTCAGTAGAAATGGAGTCTCACTGTGTTTCTCAGGCTCCAACTGAGCTCACGTGGTCTTACCGCCTTGGCCTCCCAAAGTGGTAGGATTACAGGTGTGCGCCACCACACCCAACCTGGAGGAATTTTTTTTTTAATGGGTTATGATTACTATTTGTGGCCTGCATTTTCTTCCTATTCTCTTTTTTTAACCAACATTTGCTGGCATTTTTTTTTACGCCCAAGGAAACACATTTGCCCATCTATGTCAGGCCTCGAGACCCTCAGGGATGTACATCTAATGCACCTTCAGCCACCAGTGTAAACAGTAAACAGGGCCAGACGACACCTGTGCACCTTCCCTGGCCTTGGGAGAGCCACTGGAATCTCTGCAGCCTTTAAGAGCATCTTGCTTCAGGTTTGCTGACCTGCTTGCTTCTGTGAGAGCATGTAGATTTCCTGAGCAATATCTAGCATTTCATGGTCTCTTTTCTACCCTTCAGGAAGACGGGGCTATAGACCCAACTCTCGTTATGGAAATACTTATGGTAAAGGAATTATGTCTTACAGAATATGTGAGGCAAAGCTGTCCATTTGCAAATAACTAACACACTGTCTGTACTGATGGGAAGCTGATGCTTTTATCCAATGCACAACAACTAACTGGCGATTTGGGTCTCTAATTTGCATTTTCCTTGGTCATCCATGCTGGGGGGAGATGTCGTGCATGCCCTGAGGACTTAATTTCTTGAAAGGAACTCTGACCCACTTACAGGTGGTACTGGGTGCATGTGTGTGCACATGTGTGTGTATGCATGTGTTCACACACAGGTATGCTTGTGTGTATTGTGTGCACATGCATGTGCACATGTGCATGTGGATTTTGTAATCATGCTCATAAGTGCATGTGGATTTCATGTGCACATGTGCAAGTGTCGGTGTGCACACATGTGGATTGTTTGAGCGCATGCATGTTTGTGTATGTGCACAGATGTGTTGGCATGTGCTTGTGCATTTTGCATGTGTGCATGTTTGTGCTTGGGTTGCATGTGCATTGCATGTTTCCCGTGTGTATCCATTCACATGCATACATTTAGGGTGTGCAAGCGCATGTGTGCATGTGGATAGATGCAGGAGTGTGCATCTGGGTGTGCTCGTGTGGTGCATGTGCATACTGCACGAATATATCATGTGTATCTGTGCATGTGGATTGTGCATATACATGCGTGTGTACAGGCATGCACATAGACACATGAATGTGTTTGTGCATATTTGTGTGTACATGCACGTGTTTATGCATACATGTGTTAACATGTGCACACATGTGTACATGTGTATGTTTAGACGAATTGTGCTTTATATGTGCTTTTGTTGCCTGTATGTGTGGTATGTGCATGTGTGTGTATGTGGGGATGTGTAGGATGTGCACGTGTGCTTTGTGTTGCGTTTGTATTTACGTGTTGCACATGTGTGTAAATGCGTGTGTGCATGCACATGTGTATGCGTGCTTGTCTGCCTGTGTGTTGCACGTTTGTTGCATGCTGCATGTGTGTATGCATGTGCACACACATTTGTGCATGTCAGTGTGTATGAATGGCACGTGTGTATGAATGCACGTGTGTATGAATGGCACGTGTGTATGAATGGCACGTGTGTATGAATGGCATGTGTGTGTGCATGTGTCTCCATGGAGTTGTCAGCCTGTGTGTGTTTTGCATGCGCACATATGTAGACTCCCCAATGCCGAAATTAAGGCTGCATCTCCCTCTCCCTGGTATTATCCCCATTCCGCTAATGACCATTAGACATGGCATACACATTCACATTCCTCCTCCTTATGCTCCTTATGCTGCTTGGCTGTCCCCCTCCCCCGTGAAGAACGTAAATTCCCTGAAAACAGGGATCTGTGTGCTGTGATCACAGTCGCATCCTCGACAGTGCCCAGCAATAGAAGGCACTCCGTAAGCTCTGCTGAATAAACACGAACGTCCTTTTCCGCTTACAGGTGGAGATCACCATTCGACGTATGGCAATCCAGAAGGTAACTGATTGACTCACCTTGTCCCAACTTTTAATAAGAGCACACTCTCCTAAATCAGTGCTGGGAGGAGCTGTTTGGGCTTCTGTTTCCCAACCTCACGACTTTCATGGAGCACTCACACTTTTTTTGTATATAAAGTAGCTTCTGAACAAAAATATCTGACCTTCAGCACAGGACCAATCAGAGTTGAGAGAAAGGAGAGGCAAGCATTGGTTTTCGCTGCAGAAGATGCCCCTTAGCTCTCAGAGTAAGGCTGTGAATGAGTGCTGAGACCATTGCACTTCTCCCAGTACCGCCATTACTCCCCTTTCTTTGACCAGCACTAACTTGAAACCCAAAGGACAGAAGAAAGGAAGCTATGAACACTCTGCCCAAAGAAGCCATCAGAGTGCACTCTCAATCCCATCTCAGGTCAAAGGAGGGAGAACTTGAAGCCCAGAAGGCTGACTTTGTGTCCTGTGTTGCTGGGAGAACAGGTTCCCCATTCCCTAAGAGTCATACTCTTGGAGATTTGGGCTGACGCCTGCTTGAGTTTAAGTTGAGAGTAAATGCGCTCAACCCCAAGGCTCTTGTGAGTTTTCAATGATAGGGGAGGAGAAAGTGATTGAAGCTGACCTCTGCCTTTCAATGAACATGCAGAGTACTAGTATCAATATTTTTGGGGTATGTTGGCATCCTTAGAAAAATTTATTGATTCTCCTTTTTCCCTCTATGGTGTAAAGTGAGGTCCAGAGATGGAAAAGGCAAGGCAAATAAACAAGTAATTGCAGTCAGATCTGATGAATAATTTGCTGGAACATATGGGATCCTGTAGCAAGGCAGAAGGGATACTCCTAGACTGGGTTAGGTGAGGGAGGTAGGGCTTCCTGGAGAGAACAATATCCAAGCCAGTCCCCCAAAATGTGGGTGAGAGGTGCCCAGGAGAAGAGTGAGGTGTCAGGGAAGATAGTGTACTAGGTAGAGCTGGATACACACGTGGGGACACCAGAAATTGTGTAGCCAGGGTGTGGAATGCAACAGGAACCAGGGAAGGATGCAATGGTGACCAGGAAAGACCGCCAGGTTAGCAGAGGTGGAGTCTGCACTTCATAGAACCTTCATGGGAAAGAGCCTGCCCCTGTTGATGTGTGGGTGAAGAATGGACCTGAGGGGGCTCACTAAGGCCCAGGGAGACCCCCTTTCAGACCAGTTCAGTACCCCTTGGAAATGATGGCAGGCTGAATTAAAGCCTTGGCAAGGGAGGCAAAGAGAAGCAGTCAGCTTGGATGACCACTTTTTAATAACAATTGATTGTACTTGATTGATTTGTAAGAGATGGGAGAGAGGAAAAGGTACGTATCAGTCAGCTATGCTGTGTCACAAAAGACCCCAAAACTTAGTGGCTGGAAATAACAAGCATGTATTATGTTCATGATTATGTGAGTCAGCAATTTGGGCTGAGACCATTCTAGTGGTCCTCCTGTTCTCTTCTGAACTCCCTCTCTTGTGTGCAGTCAGCTGTAGGTGTGGCCAGCGCTTTGACCATGTTTCCTGTGTCTTCTTATATATCTGGGGCCTTAGGTGGAATGGCTCATCTCAGCTTCATGTGGGCTGTCACATCCCTTCAGGAAGCCAGGCCAGGCTTCATCACATGGTGACCAGGCAGGGTACCAAGAACATGAAGAGAAGCGTGCCTGGGCTTACAGCCACCACCTCTTCACTTGTGTGGCATTCTGTTGGCTAAGCCTGGATTCTCAGAATGAAGATGCAGCTCCACCTCTGGATGGGGAACACTGTGAAATCGTACTGTGGAGTGTGTGCACATAGGGAGGGGAGGAATAGAGAGCTGTCTCTCCTAGGGGGCAGGGTGCAGCGGGTGGCAGCATCAGCCCTGGAGCAGGTTCGTGCGTTCAGTGACAACACTCTTCCCCCCAACATGGCAGCCTCATTCATGGAGCAGCCTTGTGTCCCTCACCTATGCCATGCCACGTATTGGCCCAGCTGTTCAACCCAGTCTGAAGAAAGGCATGCCTGGAAAGGGTGGCTATTTCAAATGGAAATGGTGATGTCTTCCTTTTTCCCTTTGGAAGTGTTGATTTTTGCCACATCAAGCTCCTTCTTCTTGTTCTTTGTGCAGGAGTACCAAAGCTCTGGGGTCATTTGCCATCGAGGCACTGAAGATGCATCTGTGTACTGTGTGCTTGGGTCTAGAGTTCCAGCATGCCTTTGAAAGCAGGCCTCTCTGGCAATTTTTCGTTGAACAATATTTTTGCATGAGTGAGCGTTCTACATCTAAAAAGGCACAAAATAGTTTTGACATGTGCCTGTCATCCCAACTACTCAGGAGGCTGAGGCAGGAGGATCGCTTGAGCCCAGGAGTTCAAGACCAGCTTAGGCAACATAGTGACACCCCATCTCTAAAAAAATAAATCAGGCCAGGCGCGGTGGCTCGCCTCTGTAATCCACACACTTTGGGAGGCCGAGGCAAGTGGATCACCTGAGGTCAGGAGTTCGAGACCAGCCTGGCCAGCATGGTGAAACTCTGTCTCTACTAAAAATATAAAAAGTAGCTGGGCGTGATGGCATGGCCTGTAGTCCCAGCTACTTTGGAGGCTGAGGCAGGAGAATCACTTGAACCCAGGAGGAGGAGGTTGCAGTGAGCCGAGATCACACCACTGTATTCCAGACTGGGCGACAGAGCAAGATTCCATCTCAAAAATAATAAGAAAAAATATTAATAAAATTAATTAAAAGGCATACACGAATTGACTTCAACAAACAAACAAAAATGCCAAGGGCCTCGTCTGTGCAAATCCTGGCCTTGGATGTCTCCAGTGGTAAAATGTGGTTGACAAGCTTGGCTCTTTGTGAAAACAGAATTATTTCCTAAGGTGTTTTTTTTTTTCGTTTTTGTTTTTTAATTAACTTTCTCTTTTTTTTTTTCTGTGAGTACAAGGATGGGAAGGGATGTGATGGAGAAGTTATTAGATAGGTGCAAAAGTTATTGCAGTTTTTGTCATTACTTTCAATGGCAAAAATGGCAATAACTTTTGGACCAACCTAATATTTAAGCAGTTTTCCTGCAGCCGTGTTTTTCTCAGACGCGCTTTGCTTTTTCTCCACTCCTGCAGGCAATATGGTAGCAAAAATCGTGTCTCCCATCGTATCTGTGGTGGTGGTGACACTGCTGGGAGCAGCAGCCAGTTATTTCAAACTAAACAACGGGAGAAATTGTTTCAGGACCCGTGGTAAGTTTGGCTCTGAACATTATTTTCCTTGTTACTAAGCCTGATTTTTTTTAAAAAATTACTTTCAGATGTCTGTCACTAGCAAGGTTATTTCTGGTTAAGTTCAATATACATAACTTGCCTAATCATGTGATTTTTTAACATTTATTTTTATTTTTTTTGAGACAGAGTTTCACTCTGTTGCCGCGGCTGGAGTGCAGTGGCACGATCTCGGCTCATTGCAACCTCCGCCTCCCGGGTTCAAGAGATTCTCTTGCCTCAACCTCCTGAAGAGCTGGGACTACAGGCGGGCACCACCACGCCTGGCTACTTTTTGTATTTTTAGTAGAGATGGGGTTTCATCATGTTGGCCAGGCTGTTCTTGAACTCCTGACCTCAAGTGATCTGCCCGCCTTGGCCTCCCAAAGTTCTGGGATTACAGGCGTGAGCCACCGCGCCTGGCCACCGATTGGGTTTTCCTGGTCAGGTGTAAGCTGTACCTTCCCCTAAACCTGGTTACAATGACACTGGCACATTATCTGCCTGATGTAAAAGAGGGGGAGAAAGAAAGGAAAGAAAAAGAAACAAACAAAAAAAATTACTAAGCTACATTGCAAGACTATAAGCATGGCGGTTGATTTAACTAGCCAAATACAGTTCTGTTCTGTTTTGTATTCAGTGACATTTTCGTCACAGGTGAGTCAGGAAAAATATCTGGGTTGAATGTAAATGTTTTCCACAGAACCCGACCCGCAAAGAAAACTACCGAATCACTAAATGTTAAGCCTCTTGATGGAATTCCAAAGCTGTGCTCAGACCATAGGGGAAAAGAAAGATCTGCGGTGGCTTCTTGGGTTTGAAGAATCACTGGGGATTTGAGAGCAGAGGATGCCCTAAAGAAATCTCTGAAACAACAGTCAGGGATTGTTTTGTAGACAAAAGAGTGACACAGATCTTTAACTGGGGGTCTCTGGAGGTTTGGTTTAAACCTCAGGCCACCCACATCAGAATCTGTCTGAAGTTTGCCCAGGGCCCTCTAAATCATACCTTCTTTGTGTCCCTAAAGGAAACCAGAAAGGGATGCCCATTCCTACGGTGTTTGCTTTAGGATTTGCATTTGGCCTCAAAAATCCTAAAACCTTCCCCTGCGCTCCCTCTGCTGGTAAATGGGCAGTATCAACCGTTAGCTAATGAACCTCGGGGGTCAGCCTCCATCTACATTACACCCCGTCCTGAAATTTTGGGAGGAAACTGAGTTTCTGAAAAATAGTCTTATTTCCCTGGCAACCTGACAGCAGATTCTTGGGTTCAGTGACAACACTCTTTCACCAACATGGCAGCCATCATTAATGAGACACCACGTGTTAATTTCAGTAGTATTTGTGGCAGTGATTTGTAAGCCTTTGTTAACCAAGGGCTGAAACTGAGTGAGCAGAGAGAGGCACCCGTCTCCACAAGCACAAAATGTAAAGGCAGGGAACAGGGGACATCCACAAACTCAATAATCAAGGCAAATATATTTTAGTGCAATATTTTTAAAGGAAAATCATTGGACTGGGGGCCAGCTGAGTTTCTGAAATAGGTGTAGTTTTAAAAACGTGGATGATGCCTGCCCCATTTATCTGAGGTGGCAGCATGTTTTTGCTAAAGGGGTGTAATGTCTTGAAGCTCTTTCATGCCTTTTGGCTACCGGGTAAGTATTTTGTCTACTTTCTCCATTGTACTTCAGTGACACCCTCACCAAGTATTCCCAAGCACCAAGTTTATCTTCCCTTCCCTTAAAGTTCCTGAGATCAGAAAGGAGGATGTAGACAGAGTGCGATGATGTTAGGGAGATCTCTTCAAGGTGAGCAGTGACATTTATGTGGATCCTGGGCCCATATCATCGTGCTGGCTGTAAAACCTTTATACTATCTAGGAAATATGTGTATGACAGCACTATGTAGGGGTTTGGTATCAAATGGGGCTCAGACCTCTGTGAACTTGACTCTAAGGTTCCAGGCTGCTGCTAATGGTACCCAGCTGTCCACCTATCCTTAGTTGGGCCAATAATTTTCTCTCTCTCCTAAAGGATGATGTGCATGGTATACTAACCATATCCATGGTGATGTGGTGCAGTGCACAACCTATGGAACTGTATACATGCTGAGGCCATACACTGAAGCTTGCATACTTTGTAGAGAAAGAGTTGTAGTAACGGAGCTACATAGATAGCAGCAGATGTCTGTCACTTGATGTGGACTTTTAAGAATCGTACTTTGCTTTTATTTTGTAAAGTGGAGCAAATGACAACACCACTTCAGAAGTTATAAAGACAAAGAAGGCCACATTAAAAAAAAGAAATTCCTACAAATATTAGTTTTAACCAAAAAGAAAGTTACTCAATTCATTTAAGATCATCAAAATCCTTAACAAGTGGCAAAATGTAAAAAACAATGTTTAGAAAACTAATATTTGTTTCCAGATATGATTTTAACAGTTTTTAAATATTTTCTATTTTTAATTTTTCCAGCTTTATTAAGGTACAGTTGACAAATAAACGTTGTATATATTTAAGATGTACAACTTCATTGCTGCATCATTTATTCGTTCTAATCTATTTCCTTCTGCTGAATGTAAAGCAAGTGTCATGTAGACAGCACATAGTTGGATCTTGGTTTTCTTTTTTTGAAGTAGATTTTTCATTCTTCTAGCTTTATTAAAGTATAATAGACAAATATTGTCTATATTTAAGATGTGCAACTTCGTTTCTGCTTCATTTTTTTTCTGTTCTAATCTTCCTTCTGCTGAATCTAGAGCAAGAGTCTCTGTAACAGCATAGAATTGGATCTTGGTTTTCTTTTTCTTTGTTTAATAGACTTTTTTTTCCCCCCACAATGACATTTGTTTCCAATCTGCCTTTCAGAACCAGAAAATGTCTGAAGACGTTGAGATCCCCTGATTACTTTGAGAAAAACAACTAAAACAAGAACCCTGTTTATCACTGTTGTGGAAATTTCCTTTTATTCTTGACACAATTTGATGACCTAAAGTGTGTTTTCTTCTGTGTGAAGTACGTGAGCTGCCTCACTAAGCATTCCCAACTCATTGGATGTGATGTGGTTATAGAGATAAATTAGGCAGCTAGACCCTGCATTCTAAAAAAGGATTGCTTGATCTGTTGGTTTGGCCATTCATTTGCACAAAGAGACTGTGGCTCTCTGTTCTGAGATCTTCAGCTACCTCATGGTGCAATAACACACACATGCTTAACCATGTTGATGGCACAAAGCAGTGAGCAGTAGGGAGGCAGAGTATCTTGGTGGGGAGGGGATGCTATCAGCTTCTGGGAGATGGAGAATATCGTTGAGTTTCCAAAGATACTGGGCCTGTGCTAAATTCTTCAGTGTTATAAAAAATCATTGAGCATTCACTATTGCGAATGAAGTGGGGATGCATTATTTCTGACACCCACAAGCAGGGTTTGAGCATCCTTTCAGCTTTGATGTATCTGCTCATAAAATTATTATTACCTAAAGAAAATAAGGCTGCATTTTGAAATGCTAAGTGCAAAGCGAATGATGTTAAAACCATCTGGGGGAAATCTTGGGATACTTTTTCCTAGAAAATCACATGGTTTTGATATGTTTTGGCAGATAGGAGACAGAAATGGTGATTATCAGGTGTTGAGTCCTTTTGTAGTATTTGTAGTCTTTGATACTCTGTAAGTACTGGTTCCTAAGGCAACAACATTGCATTCCTTGGTTTATACTTTTTCTATTCACCAGAGTAGGAAATCTTAAATCCTTAGGCATCCAAGAAGTATACTAGCTTTTTGCTTCTCTTTTAGAAATACTTGTGGGGAGAGAAAAAAGGATGGTTTGGGCATATTGGTATAGTTTGAGGAAACTAAGGTTAATGTTCATGTAACATTTAGACTTTGCCATAAATATCAGAACCAAAGATTGAGACATTCATGTAGAGTCTGGAATGTATATACGGGACCCATAAAACTTCCCAGTATACATGTTTTATGCTCACCAATATGAACTGGGGTCTTCAAAGAAAGAAGGTTGAAAGTGGAAAGCCCTTGAAAGAGCTCCCCAATTTGTAAAATATCTTTAATCATTCACGTTAGGGATCTCAGAGCTGTGGGTCTCAGATTGTGGATTCATGCATCCTTTGTGCAATTTGAAGATAGTCCGTATTTCCTATTTCAGTATTAGGTCCTGCAACACTCTTGTAGAAGGTGTTTTCAGGAGTGGTGATGTCTGATGCTCAATTACTATTTTCTCTATAAGAGTTTCAGCGTAAGCTTAATTAAATTCTTGTGAAAAAGCCTCTGTGTTTTTAGTTGTATATACACACACATACCTACTTAAATGGAATCTAAACATTTTTAGCCTTTAATCCATTCCATTTTCTAAAACTGTCATAAACCATTTTTGATCATTTTAAATAAATGTAAAAGAAAAAATAACTGGATTTGATTATTGCATAGTTTTTTCTATATTTCACAAATAAATTTTATGAAATGGCTGTAGAAGTGGCCCCAAAATTATGAACCTTCATAGCTGTGAATAATATGCAACAAATCTCTTTTAAAGCTCAAGATAGATTATGAACATATGAAATACATAGAGTTACCTAATAATGAGATAAAATTCACCTGGGGGACAAGGATAATGTTCAACCTACTTAAAATGAAAATATTTGAATAATGACTGCTTGGGGGAACCTCTCTGAGGGGTCATGAGGATCACCTGTTGGGTATTCTGTTTTCATGCTGAGAAGGTGAGAATTGAACAGATGAGAAAAGCCTTGATAAAATGTCATCTCCATGTGTTTTAGAGAAGGATAACCTTGATTGTACAGTTGACCCTTGAACAACACAGGGTGAACTGCATAGGTCCACCTATATGTGAATTTGCTTCTGGCTCCGCCATTACTGAGACAGCAGGACCAACCCTCTGTGTACTCAATGTGAAGCTGATAAGGGTGAAGACCTTTATGGTGATCCACTTCCACTTAATAAATAGGAAACTCATTAATTTTAACTTCCTTATGATTTTCTTCATAACATTTTCTTTCCTCTAGCATACTTTATTGTAATAATATGGTATGTAATACATATACAAAATATGTGTTCAACTGTTATCAGTAAGGCTTTCAGTCAACCAGTATGCTATGAGTAGTTAATTTTTTGGAGAGTCATAAGTTATACATGGGTTTTCAACTGTGCGGAGGGTCAGTTCCTCTCACTACCCCACCTGGTTCAAGGGTCAATTGTATGGTGTTAAAAGCCACACCTGCCTCCTCTTTGTGGGGACTTGAATGTGTTTGGTGGTCAACGGATAAATATCTTTGTGTTGGAATGAAGAGAAGCCATGACTAATTTAGTAGGGTGAAGAGGAAAATCACAAACACGTGAGCTATATTTTTGTTTATTTTTTTCTACACAGGCTAAAAAACAACAACTTTTTTACCCAAGTATAAACCACTATATGAAATTGTTCTAGTTGTATGGGAGAGGAAAGTGTGATTCTGCTGATCTGCCTTTGAGTACTGGAATTGGAATATCCAGTTACACACACACACACACACACACACACACAAGCACAGTATTAACACACTGATACGTGTTGAATTATGTCCCCTCAAATTCGTATGTTGAAGTCCTAACCCCTGGCACCTCAGAATGTGGCCTTATTGAAAATAAGGCTCTTGCAGAGGTAACTAGTTTATTGAAATGAGGTCATACTGGAGTGAGGTGGGTCCCTAATCCTATATGCCTGGTGTCTTTATAAGAACGTGGGATTTGGACACAGGTAGTTACATAAGGAGAATGCTGTGGAGTGATGTTACCACAAGCCAGAGAACTACCCAAAGCAAGGAGAGGACCCTGGAACAGATCCTTCCCTAGAGACTTCAGAGGGAGCATAGCCCTGCAGACACCCTGGTTTTGGACTTCTGGCCCCTAGAACTGTGCACGAAGAAACAAATGTCCATTGTTTAGGCCAATCAGTTTGCAATATGTTGCTATAGCCGCCCCATGGAATGAATGCATACATTAACACATGCTGTGTACATGTTTTTTTCCCCCTAATTTAAAAAAAAAAAGAGATGGGGAATTCATTTAGCTTGCCTATAGAGGTAGTACGCAAGATTAGTCAGGGTTAAATTCCAGACTCTGACACTCAATTTATAGATTCACATCCTGGCTTCTCCATTTCAAGCTGTGCAAACTTAGGCAAGTTATACCACCTCTCTGGGCCATGGTTATCCCATGTCAGGGGAAAAAAGGGAGGTGTCCTAAGAAGATCTTTCTCTCCAAGATGTGTTGAGGATATAAGACTCAATGTGTGAAGGCTGGGCGCGGTGGCTCATGCCTGTAATCCCAGCACTTTGGGAGACCAAGGCGGGTGGATCACCTGAGGTCAGGAGTTTGAGACCAGCCTGGCCAGCATGGTGAAACCCCGTCTGTACCAAAAATACAAAGAATTAGCTGGACATGGTGGTGCACGCCTGTAATTCCAGCTACTCGGGAGGCTGGGGCACAAGAATCACTTGAACCCGGGAGGTTGAGTCTTCAGTAAGTGGAGATCACACCACTGCACTCCAGTCTGGGCGACAGAGTGATACAAGCTTGGTGATACATGGAGACTCTGTCTCTACAAAAAATTTAAACATTAGCTGGGCATGGTAGTACATGCCTGTGGTCCTAGCTACTGGGGAGGCTGAGGCAGGAGAATCGCTTGAGCCTGGGATGTTGAAGCAGTAGTGAGCTCTGATTGCACCATTGCACTGAAGCCCAGGTGACAGAGCAAGACCCTGTCAAAAAAAAGGATGTCAGTGATAATGAGTTGTTTATAAAGATAGAATTAGAGTTCCAGGGATGACTGGGGAGGTCTAGTGTATTATAACCCCTACCATGTGCCCGTCAGGGACTGGTACTTAAAAGTCAAAACAGTAACTGCAGAATTTGAGAGGTGTATAAAGAGAGTCTCTCAAATAGTGCTTAGTCATTAGTTCAGCGATGGTCAGTTTGAGCATAGCTATAAAATTAGCTTATCACGGTGAAAAGTGTGTAAGCATCACTATCTTGTAGCATGTAGTTTCCCAGCAGGGCCATGCGACACCCAGTGGACATTTCTGAATTGTACATTCAAAAAAATGTTACCACTGGCTAAACGTTTTTTTCATTTAACATAAAAGTTAGTCTTGGGGGTGTCATTCAATGCCTTTTCTGCTTCCTTCAGAATTATAAAGGCTTCCGCCACAACTTTGATCTGAGCCCAGTTATGAACTTCATACAAAGCTGCAGAGAGGAGCCTGTGTCTGTTGAAGAAAGGCTCACGAGGTCCCATGGTAAGGGGAGAGGAGCTGGGGTAATGAGGAAGAAAGGCAGCTTTCCAGGGGCCGAGTCCAGAAGACCAGACTTGTCAGAGAATGGAACTAGCTTGCCCATCTCAGCCCATGAGAGAGTTTTACACCACGTGCTATTCTGGTTCCACACATTGAAGCACTTGGGTGACTTGGAATGGCCTCCATCTAAGCTGCATCTTCCCTCACAGTTCCAAATATAAATGCAATGCATTCCCTGGGTTCCTGCCAGCCGTTGTCATGTTTTTGCTTCACAGCTGTCTCCTCCCCGCCCCCCAGTCCTGTTCATCTGCCCCTTGCTAAACAGGTATTCATGAAACGTGACTGCTTGTTTATGAATAGCTGGGATGTAGACATGACATATGGAAAGAGAAGCTGCCAATTTTTCCCCAACCAAAAGTGAAAACAGTGCTTGGACCTAACAAGCATAGAACGTTTGATCCCATAGCAGAGCTGGTGGGAAGGCTGGGGGCAAAATCTCACACTGTCCACCATTGGCTGTAGACCAAAGGGAGGCTGCAGGGAGGTGGGGCCATTTCAATCGCAGGTCCCCACCCACTATGAGCACTTCCTCACCCACATCCTCTGTTTTAATCTTTTCTCTCTATCTCTTATCAACTTCCAACATATGATAAAGTATCACCTTTTATTGTTTCTCTCCCGGCTCCATCACCCGCTAGAATGCAACTGCTACAAAGGCATGGATTTGTCCCCAGTTTCCAGAAACATGACTGGCATGTAGTAGATGCTCATTAAAGACTTATTTATTTATTCATTGAGACAATGTCTTGCTCTGTTGTCCAGGCTGGAGTGCTGCGGTATGATCATGGTTCACTGCAGCCTCAAACTCCTGGGCTCCAAAGATCTTGTCACCTTAGCTTTCTGAGTGGCTGGGATGACAGGCATGTCCTACCATCCCTGGCTAATTTATTTGTTGTTTTTGTAGAGATGGGGTCTCACTGTGCTTCCCAGGCTGGTTTCGAACTCCTAGGCTCTAGTGATTTTCCCACCTTGGCCTCCCAAATTGCTGGGATTACAGACTTGAGCCACCACACCTGGCCCTAAAGACTTATTAAACACACGGGAAAATGAATGAGTGAAGCCCTCGTTCAGGCCACAACTTTAATAATATTAAAGAGGAGATATTTTCTTTTGGTATTCTAGCTAAAGACTTTTCGGATGAGATGGATAAGGATATTAACAAATGTGTCTTTTAAAAAATATATATATACATATTACGAAATAAAACATCCGGAAGAGCTCCATAACTCAAGGAACCAATATTCTACAAATGACCCATGTGTGAAGTGGCAGAATCATGAATGGATAAAAGGTTTGTTTGAAGCTTAAGATAAACCTGTGGGTTTTAAATTTATAGACTTTAAAAATTCAGTGATAGGATTTCAGATTTCACACTACCTTATCTTTGAGAAGCTAATGATGATCAAGTTTTGTCATCGAAGGAGAACATTCACAGTGATTTGAAAAGATGACTAAAATACTTTTTCTAACTATATATCTTCATGAGGTTATATTTTCTTCATCTACTTTAACCTACTTTAACCTGAACAACGTAAGGAATGTTGATCTGAGAAACTGGTCATCTCCTCATAAGTCAGATATTAACACGATTTGTAAATATGTGAAACAGTACTCTTCCCCTATGAAAATTTTTCCGTTTGAAAAAATACATCCCATTTTTCATAAAATTACATTATTTAAAATGTACTGGATTTATCTTTAAAATTATTAATTAGTCAAAAACTTCATTTTAATTTCAGAAAATATAGAAATGTTAATTTTAATTTATTACAGCATTAAATTTAATGCAATGTAATTTAATTACAGAACATATAGACATTTACAATGTACAAAAACAAAAGGCCCTTAATCATTGTTAAGAGGGCAAAAGAGGCAGGGCACGATGGCTCATGCCTGTAATCCCAGCACTTTGGGAGGCTGAGGCAGGTGGGTCACCTGAGGTCAGGAGTTTGAGACCAGCTTGGCCAACATGGTGAAACCCTGTCTCTACTAAAAATACAAAAATTAGCCATGTGTGGTGGCACATGCCTGTAGTCCCAGCTACTCGGAAGGCTAAGATAGGAGAATTGCTTGAACCTGGGAGGTGGAGGCTGCAGTGAGCTGAGATCGTGCCCCTACACTCTAGTCTGGGCAAGACAGAGTGAGACTCTGTCTCAAAACAAAACAAAAAAAGAGGGCAAAGGAATCCTGTGACCAACACGTTTCACAATTTCTGCTTGATTTTATAAGTGATGGCACTTTTCCCCTGAAATCTCTGCAGTTTTATAAATCTCCCTCCCTATCTGACTGCCTCAATCCTTTTCTCTCTCTGCCAACTCAAAATGGTTGAGGCAATAAAGACAGCATCCGTAACAAGATGTACTTAGATTCAGGACCTCTGGGCTGGGTCAATTTGAGGGCTTAACAATGTCCTCCAGTAGCCAGGTTCTCTGTGTCTTGCAGTCCTGTGTTTCATGAGTCATCAGCCCATTTCACTCATGGCAGAAGATGGCTGCTGTACCTCCAGCCATCACAGCCTTATCCACTAATATATGTAAGCCCAATTAAGATCATTTCCTCCCAGATTTTCTCTTTTAAGAGCAAAGACATTCTTTCAGGGCTCACCCCCAATTCCTCATCCCTGATT